GTTTAGTTACATATTTTTTGTAAAGGAGAGCAATCAAATCTAATTTGTATACAAGGATAAAACTATACAAAATAATGGTAATAAAGAGAAATAGTTTAGGTATAATACTGAATTTTAAGTACCTGTAAATGCCGATTTAGAAGTTATTGCGGGTAGCTCCCCTGAAATGAAAAATCATGTAATAGAGTTTTAATACATACGAATTTTAACACTTAGGAATACAATATAAGTAAAATATACATATTTTCACATGTAAAAACCAGTAAGGAAAGTTCAATAGTCGGACGGGGCCGACTATATGATACCCTTCACCACTTTGGGTACATACAAGAGATATTCATAAGTACAATATCCTTTTGATAGAATAGACATATGATCTTTGGAGGACCATGGAATGGAATCTAACTAAAAAAACTGTCTGAAGTTGTTGATATTTTAAATAAAATAAAACAACCCATATAGATACAATCTGAAATCTATGAAAAATTTAATGTCAATAATGTCATATTTGTAAGATCTATATATATAAATGAACGTCTTTGAGCAACCCTGCATCCACCATTTGGTATGCTGCAACACTATGCGCTATCCAAAAATTATCTTGACACTAAATACAATGCACGTTGTTCTAGGTTCGATTTGGTACGTTGTGCACTAATTCGTCCTAAGCGGTCAAACTTAAGTTATTTGGTACATCATTTTGATGAAATCGGATGAAATTATGTATGAAAGCTATATTTATATTCCTCGGTGCGCCATTTACATAAAATCGGACGAAAAAATATATGAGAGCTATATCGAAATCTAAACCGATTCCAACAAAACATCGCATACATTAATCTGGACCTAATTCAGTACTCAGTGCAAAATTTTGTCTCAATCGGACAAATTTTGGGAGTTTGGTGCACCATTTACCTAAAATCGGACGAAACTATATATGGGAGCTATATCTAAATCTGAACCGATTTCAACCAAACTTAGCATACATCAATCTAGACCTTATTCAATACTCTGTGCAATATTTTGTACCAAATCGTACAAATATTGGAAGTTTGGTGCACTATTTACCAAAAAACGGACGAAACTATATATGGGAGCTATATCTAAATCTGAACCGATTTCAACCAAACTTAGCTTACATCAATCTAGACCTAATTCAATACGCTCTGCGAAATTTTGTCTCAATCGGACCAATATTGGGAGATTGGTGCACCATTTACCTAAAATCAAACGAAACTATGTATGGGAGCTATATCTAAATCTGAACCGATTTCAACCAAACTTGGCACACATCAGTCTAGACCTAATTCAATACTCTGTGCAAAATTTTGTATCAATAGGACAAATATTGGGAGTTTGGTGCACTATTTACCTAAAATCGGACAAAACTATACATGGTTCAATAGGGTTCGTCCTTGGACCAATTAAGTGACCTGTGTCAAATTTCATCCAAATCGGATCATAAATGCGACCTGTACTTTGTTAACAAAAATACATGGACGGACAGACCGACGGTCGGACAGATGGACATGCATAAATCCACTCAGAAAGTGATTCTATGCATATTCTCAAAAGGAACCATGAGTCTATCTCGATTATTTTTGCCTGTTACAAACATGTGCACAAAGACATAATACCCTGTACCACAGTGTGGTGAAGGGTATAAATATAAATCAAGAGAACCACAAATATCATATTAGATGTCATTGGGTTGTAAAACATATCCAAAATCACCAAAATATCGAAAAATGGAGTGTACCGTTATAAAGGGGTCTATGCCAAAACATGGGCCAATATTGATTATTTTTAAAGATTTTCTATTCAATGAGAACTCAAAATATAGAAGTATAGACATTATGGGGAAATTTGGGAAGTATCGTTTTATGGGAACTCCCCAAAATAGTGGAAAAAAGTAATATTTTTTTATAGGAAGATTCGCTACACTATGAGAATTCGAAATACAAAATTGCGGCAACTTCGGTTAAAGATTAGACCAACAATCATCAAGATAACGATCGTTGTATGGACCGATATATCCCTAATTTCAAATCTGTATCGGACATGGCATAGCGTTAAGAGAAACACAATTTTTTACGCGTGTATTTCCACTAAATTTAAAAAAAAAAATGTAAAAGGTCCAGAAAGGTCGATATACAATCCACTTTCAGTGAGAGAAGTCAACACGTTATATGCGGGCATGTAGAAAAATTGGCTATTTCGCTTGAAACTATGCAATATCAAATTAGGGGACAATGGAAGTAAAACAGAACTGTCACATTTAGCTACATAACGGCGACAGATCCAAATCTGAAATTTAGGCAGAAAAAGAAAATCAGAAGGGGTTAATCGTACAGGCCTACGATTCTCTGTGTCCAATAAAAACGACACTCGAGCCACTCCTCCTCTCACAGATGAGAAGCAGGTTTTCAATTGACCAACATTAACATCGGGACCATGTACTGCAACCAAATAAGGACGCCACGTAGATGTAGAAATTCATTCTGTAGAATTCACAAACAAAAAAGGCCTATGAGTGAAGCAGAGAGTTTTTAAGTATGTATCGTAACTCCGGAACCATCCTGTGTCTTTCTTAATTTCCCTAATAGAAAAAACCTTTAAGGCATCACTCCTTCCCTCTGGTTTTTGAATGATGTGGAGCATAACACACCAAATCCGCACATATAAGTATAGGGCTGTAGGAGTGGTGCAATAAAACTGTTTTGGATGCCCTTAACTTATCGAAAGCCTTCAATATTGTCAGTTAAGCAATATGATCAATGGAGTGAAACAACAGAAAGCTTTCTGAAACTCCACAACCTCATGGCGTCGTAGAGGTCGTAATGAATGCGGATGATTGTAATTGTGGAAGGTTAAAGGTTTCCATCTCACGATTATGGGAATATCCGTCGTCAAATCCACAGCCGCATTGTCAGGAACTCTTAGGGCACTGACATAGAAATCTGTTTGACCTCTTACAAAGCTATAGGTCAATCGGAGCTGCGTGAGGCATGTGTGGTGTGCAAATATAAGCGATACGATGTGTAGGAATTTTTATACCCGCCACAAGAAGGTAATGTGGATGCAGTACCTCCAAAACCAGGTACGCAGGAGCTTTGAAAATATATACATTGTGGATCTCTTACAAAGCTATAGATCGGTCGGAGACGAGTTGTGCAGCTCCAGTGTATTTGGCGATTTTTAGAATGTAAGCTGTGGATGAGTATTCAAATTCCATGACACCAATGGACCATTTGCAGCATTAGGTGTGAGTTTTACCACTACAGCGACACAGTAGCAATTTGTAGATGTAGTACCTGCTTTGGTGATATTGCTAGAATCATCCATTACTAATTGATAGAATTTCCTAACCAGGCACCTTAGGATAAATCTTCATGATCAAGAGTGACATGAAGAGGCGTATCAAGCTGAAATGAATGATATTCCAAAGAAGCAGTGACCCATGCTATGGTCTAATACCATGCAGTTCTTGTAGTCCACCAATATCAGTAGAAGAAATACAGCAGCCTTGAATAAGCCTAACAATATCTGAATGGTTCAGCCTCCTTAATTAGTATTAAGTCAGAATTGACAGCACATTACCAGGCACATACCCTGCGTGTGGACCTCGCAGTACGCTGCATATATTCAAATATCTAGCTAAGCCCACTCAACTATCTCCAAATAGTTGTAGCAGCCACATGTTTATTTTATTATTTTTATTAATTATTATTTTGTATTAAATGCGAAAGTTTGATTAACATTATAATTTTTATTATTTTATTGTGTAACTATTTTCGACACTTATTGTAATAATTATTTACTCTTCGCATGTTCTAATTTATCACTCAAAATATTCTTTCAGTACTCAAAAGAGTTTTCGTTTAAATGCTTAATCAATACTCACTCATTTAAATAATCCTACTCTCTTTTTTTCTAATTATTGTTCATCGCACATTTTTACCTATATAAATCAGAACAATGTCTAATTTAGATTCATTCCTGTTTAACTGTTGACGAATAAACATCATTCCCAAAACTAAGCGGAGTGTTTCTTTTTATTCTACCCCTCAGTTAATAGATTTTGGAAAATAAACCAGCTTAGACGTTCATCGTCCGGTTGGGATTTTTTTCAATAAATATAATTTATTATATTATAAGAAAGATTATGATCCAGCTTTTACGTTAATCGTTTGGCCTGGGATCTAATCCAAAATATAATATAATTAATTATTTTTATTACTGAGAAGGGACTAAGGATACCCCCTTCTACACTGGCGCCCAACGAAATTTAAAAAAAAGCTGAAAATTTTCTAAAAAATATTTAAATTTTGCTTTACATTAAAAAACAAAAAGCATAACACGTGGGTGATTTAATCAAATATTGTGGCTAGACTAAAGCCTACCATAGCACTGTTTCGCCGCAATCGCAGTCGGAGAAACCAACATTGTCGCTGTTACAGCATCATTAGTGCAGTTTGTTAACAATCACTTCGAGGAGTTCTCAAAATTGCAGTCGTCATCGCTGCTGTCATCACTGTTTGTTGTTGTTGTTGCTAACCACCGATCAACACGTGTCTCACTTTTATTGTTGTGTTGTTGTTGGCATTGCATTTACATCGCTACATCAGTTGTTGTTAATCATCACTCAACTGTTTCAATTCCATCGTCGTCATTGATCTCTCTAGCATATTGTGTTATATTGGTTATTGGTTGTCACCTTTTGTTGTCGTTGTTGCTCAGCTCACATATAATTGCTTGTCGCTCATCATCGTCTCCGTTTTCAACGAGAAACATTTCTGTTGTTGGCTCTGTTATCACAGAAGCAAGAGAGTTGTTGTTGCTGTTGCTAATAAATAAATTGAGTTCATCACCGTTGAGTGGAATCAGATAAACTCTTCTAAGAGAAAATCTTATTGTGATTCTTAATTGACTCCCACACTCTTGAGTGAAGAGCAGGGTTTCCCAATATCAAAATTAAGAATTTTTGGGGTATTTTAAAAATGATTAGAAGGAGTCCAAGAATTAACCCTTCGGTTGCGGAAAGCAACAATAATGCACCGTTAGAGCAGACCGTTACCACACCTCGCTCGACACATTCGATTGAAATAACCAATACAATTAACGGTACCAATGGAACAACTTCAGGATCAAATAACCACACACCATCGTTTGCTTCTGCATCATCTCAAGTACAGTCACAGGGTTTACCAAGAAATACCACTAGCAGCAACAGTGTTATGTCATCTAATGATTCCTCAGCAAATGCGTTCTCACAGGTCCAACAAAATATTGTATTGACGGATGTCCAATTTCAACAAATTTTAAGTGGTATATCAATTAACCAAGAGAAGAAAACGACATTTACTGGTTGCACTGCACGATTCTCTGGTGGACGAAACTCAACAAAAGTCGAGGATTTTATTGCAACAATCGAGGTCTATAAAGAAGCCGAAAATATATCTGAGTCTAGTGCTCTTAATAGTTTCCCCTTATTGCTAGAAGGTTACGCCTCGACATGGTGGCAAGGAGTTCAGGACGAAGCACGTTCATTTAAAGATGCAATAGAACTTCTTCGTAATGCATTTGCACCCGTAAAGCCAGATTGGAGGATATTCAATGATATTTGTCAAGAAAAGCAAAAGACATTTGAAACAACAGATGCTTTTGTATGTAGAAAAAGGAGATTATTTGCTCAGTTATCCGAGAAGCTGTCTGAAAAAACTATGATAGATATGTTATTTGGTCAGTTAAATTCTCAAATAAGAGGTGCTATATCTCGTACAAGCGTTAAAACGTTCCAAGAACTTTTACAACAAGCTAGAGAAATTGAAATGAACATTTCAGAAAATAGGCAGGAGAACAAGGATGAAAAATCAAAACTACCACAATCCAATGAAAAGTCCTTCTTACGATGCACGTACTGTAGAAAGAAAAATCATCTAGCAGAAAACTGTTTCAAAAAGATTGAGGCTGAAAAGCATAAAAAAGTTAAGGCCAACGAGTCAAAATTAAATTGCTATGGATGTGGTATGGAAGGTTACTATCGTTCCAATTGCCCGAATTGCAACATGAAAAATGAACAGGAAAAGCCATTGGATTTTAATTCCCTACACACAACAATGGTTGGAAGTGATGTTCCTTTAGTGGATATTAATGTTTATGCCTTAAAAGGAGAAGCTTATTTTGACACTGCTGCCAGGACAAGTGTTGCAGGATTTCAATTATACCAAAAATTGCTCATGAGAGGAAATCAGTTTCAAAAAGTCAGAGCAGAAGTAATTTTAGCTGATGGTGTTCCACGATATGAACATGTTTTGTCTACTGTTGCAGATATAATTATTGGAAAGCGATTTAAAAAGATTCAATTTATATGTTTTCCTAATGCAACAAATAATAGGACTTTGCTCGGAATAGACTTCCTTAAGGAATGTGGAATTGTCTTGGACTTAGCTCAACATACATGGTATTTTAAGGACGATCCAAAGCAAATATTCCCATTTAAATCCAATCCGTCAAAATTAAGTATATCAATGGTTGAAAAGGTAAACGTAAGACCGAGCGAATTGAATGCATTTTTGGCTAATTTTGAAAAAGGAAATAATGACTATTCCCCAAAATCCATTAACAAAATTTTTGAAAATTCGGTTCCTGAAGGCATGGAGACTAAAAATAATGATGGGTTATTTCCACCTTTAAAAAGGACAAAATATGAGCACTATTGCGACGAAATGTTTGCGTCGCTCGAATTGAATTCGGTGGATATAAAACTTCGTGATTATGAAGGTCCACATTTAAATCATAATGAAAGGGAAGTTTTGAATGGTTTATTAATGTCTGAAAAAGACATCTTCAATGATATAAACGAACCCTTAACGCAAGTAGAACATTATATAAATACAGGAGAACGGGAACCAATATCAAATCCGCCGTATAGGATTTCTCCCCGTATGAAGGTGTTGTTAAAAAGTGAATTGGACAAAATGCTGAAAAATGGAATAATCGAAGAAACTGAATCCCCGTGGTCATTCCCAGTGGTATTGATTCCCAAAAAGGATGGAACTGTTAGATTTTGTGTCGATTATCGCCGTCTAAATGCGATCACTGTTACGGATACATATCCACTGCCGAGAATCGACGATCTGTTACATGCCGCAAAAACCACTCCATTTATGACAACTTTGGATCTTCGTTCTGGCTATTGGCAAATAAAAGTAGCAGAAAAAGATAAAATGAAAACGGCTTTCACTTCCCCATTTGGCATCTTTGTTTTCAATCGAATGCCGTTTGGTTTGAAAAATGCACCAGCGACATTTCAACGTCTCATCGACAAATTTAAAAATGGATTGCCGAATATATTGATATTAGCATATTTGGATGACATAATTATATGTTCTGAAGATTTTATGACTCATATATCCGATTTAAAACAAACGCTTCAGCGACTGAAATCATTTGGGCTATACCTTAATCGAGAAAAATGTTTCTTTTGTAAACCAGAAGTAAAATACCTGGGCCATATCTTAACAAGGAATGGACTTAAAGTTGATACTGAGAAAACCGATGCAATAATGAAGCGTAGGAATCCCAGAAACTGCAAAGAGGTCCTATCATTTATGCAAACCTGTTCGTGGTATCGGAGATTTATTCCCTCTTTTGCAAATATAGCCAAACCATTGTCAGATTTGACTAAAAAGAATGCAGCATGGCATTGGGGTGAAAAACAACAAAATGCCTTTGATATGTTGAAGAAATTGTTAACCTCCCCACCAATTTTGCAACAAGTTGATGAAAATATGCCTTTTATTTTAAAAACCGATGCAAGCAATTATGCTTTAGGGGCTGTTTTGATCCAGGGGGAGAAGGAGTTTGAAAGAACTATTGAATACGCCAGTCGTTTATTGCTTCCTGCAGAGAAAAACTACTCAACGACCGAAAGAGAAGCTTTGGCTATAGTTTGGGCCGTGGACAAGTTCAGAGGATATATTGAAGGTTCCGAAGTGTTGGTTAAAACCGATCATCAACCATTGAAGTGGCTGTTTAGCCTTAAAAGCCCCACTGGTCGTTTAGCAAGATGGGCATTGTTATTACAATCATTCAATATTAAAATAGAGTATACGCCAGGTCGACAAAATCATGTTGCCGATACACTTTCACGTCCTCCGTGTAGTCATCATACTACTAGTGACGTCAAATGTGAGTGTTTCTCTGTTCATATTGATTTCCCAAGAAAAGGAGCTGAGGAATTCCGCAAATCCCAAATAGAAGATCCAGATTTGAGAAACATAATATCTTCATTTGAAAATAATGATGAAAATGTATTCAGATATACCGAAAGGGGATATATTATGTTAGATGGTGTACTATACCGATTTTGCTCAGAAGAAGATTCTGAGAATGGTCAACTAGTAATACCCAGATCTATGCGCACGAACATTCTGTTCAATTACCATGATAGCCCCACAGCCGGTCATTATGGCATAGAAAGGACAATAAACCGAATTACACAACATTACTACTGGCCGAAGATGCGTTCCGAAATCAAAGATTATATAAAAGGATGCATAGAATGCCAACGATATAAGCCGTCTAATATGAAGCCTATGGGCCTACTTCAAACAGTGAGCAGCAATAAAAGATTTGAAATTATTGCTATAGATCTATTTGGACCTCTACCAAGAACTAAACAAGGCAATCAATGGATTTTAATAGTAGAAGATCTTTGCAGTAGATGGACAGAACTATTTGCTTTAAAAGTAGCCTCAGCAGAAAATTGTGCTCTTATACTTCTAAATGAAGTCCTTTTGAGATATGGAATACCAAGGCGTATACACTCCGATAATGGTCCTCAATTTATATCGGGTGTAATGCAGAAACTCGCATATTGTTTAGGAATCACCCAGTCTTTCACTCCAGTATATCATCCGGAAGCTAATCCCGTTGAGCGGAAAAATAGAGACCTCAAAGTACAACTTTCCATTTGTGTCGGTCAAGATCATACATCCTGGGACTTGAACTTGTCATCAATACGTTTTGCAATGAATACTTCCAAATGTTCGACAACTGGTTATTCGGCAGCTTACCTTACTTTTGGCCGTGAATTACGAAGTCCTTGCGAAGTGCAAAATGATTTAAGAGCGATTGTCACTGCGGAGAATTTTGTGCCACAGATTACACCTCATCTTCTACGATTGGCAGATGCACTTAAGATAGCCAAGGAATCTGAAGAAAGGATGCAGGATCGGAACAAATTATATGCCGATCTAAAAAGACTACCTCAAAAAGAAATTAAGGTCGGAGACAAAGTTTTAATATCGACCCATATTATTAGTAATAAAGGAAGCAACCTTACTTCGAAATTTGTGCCTAGACGAGATGGACCATACATAGTTGTGGACAAACAAGGAGCAGCATGTTATACCATTGCAACGATGGACAATATACATAAACCTTTGGGCAAATATCACGCCTCAGACCTAACTATTTATGAAGGAAAAGAAATGATTCCATTATATTCGAAAACCCGACAACAGAGATCCGAATTCCCAACAACACAAAATTTGAAAACAACAGATAATATCAATGTACCAATAACCTCTACGTGCGACGAAGCAACAACAAGCAAACAGCACAACAAGAACATAGATGCAACATCAGCAGAAAATGCAACAACCGATATTGACTCTATGAAGCAACAATCTTCCCACAACAAAGCTGACTTAAGAAACGTGTTACCTGAAGTCCAGAACGACAATCTAAGGAGGTCTTTACGAACGAGAAAGCCGCCATTAAGATACTAAGAAGTTCTGTCACATCATCGGGACGATTTCTGTGCCAGAGGGGGAGAATGTAGCAGCCACATGATTATTTTATTATTTTTATTAATTATTATGCATTAAATGCAAAAGTTTGATTTATATTATAATTTTTATTATGTTATTGTGTAACTATTATTGACACTTGCTGTAATAATTATTTACTCTTCGCTTGTGACAATTTATCACTCAGAACATTTTATTATCACTCAAAAGAGTTTTCGTTTAACTGTTTGATCAATACTCACTCATTTAAATAATCCTACTCTCTTTTTCTTATTCTTATTATTGTTCATTACTCATTTTTACCTATATAAGTCAGAACAATGTTTAATTTAAGATCATTCCTCATTAACTGTTGACGAATAAACATCATTCCAAAAATTAAGCGGAGTGTTTCTTTTATTCTACCCCTCAGTTAATAGAATTTTGGAAAATAATCCAGCTTAGACGTTCATCGTCCGGTTGGGATTTTTTTCAATAAATATAATTTATTATATTATAAGAAAGATTATGATCCAGCTTTTACGTTAATCGTTTGGCCTGGGATCTAATCCAAAATATAATATAATTAATTATTTTTATAACTGATAAGGGACTAAGGATAAACCCCCTTCTACAATCTATTTATAGACGAGATTTTCTTCTAGAAGTTGAAGTCTATCTCTCGAAGAGATTTTATATATGTAAAATGTTTATTCTTCAGTATAACAATTATTTAATAAGAATGCTAAGTGAAGAGTCTTTTAAGGTGAAGTCTTTCTAAATTTTTTTGTTGTCTACCTATAAAAGTTATGATTTTTCATAAAAGTTATAATTTTCTAAAAGAGGTCTACTATCTCTAGAAGAAGTCTTCTTTCTCCGGAAGTTATGCTCTAACCCCTTCATAGAAAAAGGTCCTCAATTCATCAGAAGCAGTCCTTACAAAAGACCTTCTTATCTAGGAGAAGTCTTCTATATCAAGAAAAAGTCCGTCTATCTTCAAAAGGTGACTTCTATCTGAAGAGGAGAAGATCCTTCTATAGGAAAAGTATTTTTTAATAAAAAAAGGATTTCTGCAGAATACCATGATGTCTTTATTTAGAATACAAAACAATTTTTTATTTCTTGTATTATAAGGTCTTTTTGTAGAAATAATTATAAGGTCTTTATATAAAATAACAGCAGATCTTGCTATACAAGTTCAAAAGTTCACTCCATAGATGAGCAAAGATCTTTCCACAGAATACCAAAAGTCCTTCATTAAGAAAGCAAAGGAATACCACCAGACCCTTCTTTAGAAGTAGGTCTGTCGATTAAAGACTTAAAGGGTTTCCTATATAAGACCACCAGTTCTTCCTATAGCAAACTATAAGGTCTTTTTGTAGATAACCAGAATTCTTATAGAAGAGATATTCCTCCACATGAGACCCAGAAATTATCAACATGACTCCTTAAGCTGTCTTTTTTACAGAATTCTTAAAGAATGTTAAAAGAAATAATTTTCTAAAATGCTCCCTTCTCTGTTTCAAACAAATCATCCACTGTGCCTTGTCGCCTAGAAAAAAGCGTCATAAGCCGACAAATCCACAAATAAGAACCAAGAAAGAAAACCTGTTAAACAGGCCAAACATTCAAAGACTGGCAGTTGGTAAACATATTACTTTTTAAACATTTTTTTCACGCTCACTCCCACACACTCTTCTCTCTTCGCATACTCGCATCAACTGTCAAACCAAAACTGTCACACACTGAACAGAAAAAAGAGCATTGAACCACAAAAGCTTTGTTGCGGCATCGCTTGTGGTTGGTGTCTTTGCTAGCATCAACTGTAAACCTCATATCGTAGACCACAATCGTAACATTTGCCAAATCCCAGCATGATGTGGCAAGGTTCAACTGACTGTCTGCCTGTCATTTCAGTTAACTCTCTTACAGGTCACATTACTCAGAGTTCGGTTATGACATGTGAATGAATGAAACTCACCTTTATTGCTATTGTTATTTACACGAGTATGTATGTGTATTTGTGTGTGTTCGAGAGAGATATAATTTTGTCAACCTTCCAATTTTAAGTCAAGCATGCAAAATCATCCTACCATAGATTTGTGTGTTCTCCCCACTCCCTTGTGGTCTGGGGCCATTTTGCTCAAGGACATAAAAATGTATCACAAGGATGTTGCCAAAAAAAAAAAGAAAAAAACAGAGAAGACAAAGCTAAAAAAATTAAATTGTAAATGGAAATGTAATGGAAAATCATCAACCTGAACTGCAGGAAAATGTTTCACACACCCCGAGCTACCATTCCCACCAGCAGCCATTGCCTTCAACTTAAATTACAGTCAATTTTCAACTGGGTTGTGTTTAACATGTTGTTGTTGTTTTTTTTTTATTGTTGCCTTTTGCCCTCCACTGATTTACTTTTACTAATTGAAAACACCAAAGCATTTGTGTGTGTGTGCCAAAGACCTTAACATATTTTCTTTAGGATTTTTGTAAAAGCGCCCTCCTGCCCTCCACATAGGTTAGCCTAGTTGTTTACTTATGGTTTGGAATATATATATATGACGAATAAGAAGTGCAAGACTAAAATGATGAAGAAAAGGAAACTACAACAATAACAATAAAAACAGCAGATTCTTAAAGGAAACTCATCATCGTACATTTAACAAACAAACACTTGTCATTGTGTCTGTCCGCCGCCCTTTTGTCTGTCGCTTTCTCTCTATCTCTCTCTCCACCCCTCTTTCCGTACCTGGGTCTGCATATTTGTATTCCTTTAAGACAGCTTTCTTTGACGAAACTTCTTTATGTGCCCAAGCACACACACTGACACATATAAAAATTCACTTAGTATCCGCTTAACTCCAAGTGTTGTGTAGAGCATAGGTGTGTGTGTGGGTGTGTGTGCATGTGAGTCCCAAGTACTTAGGATGTGTCGTGAATGGCTGGCTGGATGAATGGATAGATGTGCCAATCCCCAGAGAAATGTTAATTTAAAAGTTAAAACGTTTTATTGTTAAAATGTGAAATGTAAATGTGTTTAACGAACAGATACATGTGTTATGTGGGATGGCGAACCTGAGAGTGAGTGAGTGTATGATGGGATACTTTACCTCCATACAAACAAATAAGTTTTCCTTTCAACTTGTTTTTTTTTATTCTTTATTGAAATTGTTATGACTTCACCTAGTTCCTGTAAGTGAAATTGTAGAGAGAGTTTGAAGGCAGCAACACCGTGATTTGCATAACTCTTGAATGTGGATTTTTAAGGAATATTTTTTTTTTCAGGGACCTAATTTTCAAAGAATAATCATTATATGATTGTTTTGTTAAAAATAATTTTTCAGACACCATACGGATTTTTTGAAAACATTTTTTTTCAGGAAAACAATATAAATTTTGATTTTTAATGAACACATTTAAGGACCCTTATACGCCTATATGGCCTTTTGCTATAGAAGAGGTCTAAAAAAGGGTTTTAATCTCTAGAAGAGCTTATATATCTCTGAATAATAATTTACTGATCTCTAATTTACTGTCCCGTGCACAAAAATGGAGACAAGACGATATATTCCAACTATAGAGAAATTAGCCTTCTTCCCATCGCATATAAAGTGCTATCCAGTGTGTTGTGTGAACGACTGAAGCCAATGGTCAATGACATTATTGGACCATACCAATGTGGCTTCAGACCTGGCAAATGCACCATTGACCAGATTTTCACTCTGCGTAAATCCTGGAAAAAAACTCACGACACACACCTATTCGTCGACACATTGCACCTATTCGTCGACTATTAAGCCGCATTCAACAGCCCTATCCGTTCAGAGGTGTATAAAACCATGTCTGCGTTTGGCAATCCTCCAAAATTAATATGGCTATGCAGGATAACTTTAACAGGCACAAGATCAGCAGTTAAAGTCGGAAAAGACTTCTCGGAGCACTTTAATACCGAACGAGGATTCAGACAAGGTGATAGTTTGTCGTGTGACCTTTTTAACATCCTACTAGAATACTATTGCCTGCTAGGCAATAGTGAACAGAAATGGCACTCTGTACACCAAACAACACATGTTACTCGCCTACGCTGATGACATCGACATAATGGGTCGAACATTGAGAGCGGTAACAGCAACCTTTGAACAAATTGATAAGGAGTCTGCCAAAGTGGGTCTAGCAATAAACGGCGAGAAGACCAAACTGACGTCCTATAGACTCGGACCAACTGTGGAACTTGCGAAATACAGCTTCGAGGTAGTCAAAGACTTTACATGCCTTGGTACCGCCATAAATAAAACGAATGACATAAGTTTTGAAATTCGGAGAAGGATTGTGATGGCCAACAGATGCTACTATGGTCTGAGCAAACAACTCAAAAACAAGGCCACCTCCCGCCAGACCAAACTCACACTCTACAAGACGCTGATACTACCCGTGATGCTATACGGATCTGAAGCAGAGGGTACTTACGCAAGCAGATGAGGCAGTTCGTGGAGTGTTTGAGAGAAAAATACTCAGAAAGATCTATGGGCCGATCTGTTTTGACGGTTAATATCGCCGTCGAATGAACCATGAGTTGTATCAGCTATTCTCGGCCATCGACATTGTTGTTAGACGTATTGAGCTGCAGCGACAACGTTGGCTAAGTCATGTTGTGAGAATGGATGAAGATGCCCCAGCCCAGAAGGCATATAAAAGCGAACCAGCTGATGGTTCACGCAGAAGGGGAAGGCCAAGAACACGTTGGAAAGATAAAGTCGAAGACAAGATTGCCGAAAATGGTGTTTCAAATTGGAAAAAGACCGAAGCGCCTGGAAATCCTTTCTAAGCTTGGCTTATGGAACGAAAGTTCTGTCACAATCCGGCTAAGTAAGTAGTAGTAGTCTTTTGCCTGTGGAACAGGCTTTCTTTTATAGAAGAGAGGTTTCCTT